AATGGTTTGAAGTTAAATCAGAACGACAGGGTGCCTACAACGCCATTCACGACTGTCAGAGATTGCATGCCTGTTCGCTGGCCAACAAGGTTAGCGCTCTATGATCTGGATTTGTGTACACTACAACGAGAGCCTAGTCGAAGACAAAACAACAACAATGACTAATGATGCATTTAGCACTTAGGAGTGCAAAGGTGCAATACGAAACGAACTAAAGCTGTCCGCAGTCAGAAATAGTGACAGTCTTCGATGTCTTACCAGACTGCGATCCAGTGGCCTCCATCTTTTTGACGACATCCTGACCTTCGACCACCTGGCCGAAGACAACATGTTTGCCATCCAGCCAGCTCGTCACGGCAGTCGTGAGAAAGAACTGAGAACCGTTTGTATTGGGCCCAGCGTTGGCCATGGATAGTAGGAAGGGTCTGTCGTGCTTAAACTTAAAGTTTTCGTCCGCAAATTTGGCACCGTAGATGCTTTTACCGCCAGTGCCATTGTGGTTGGTAAAGTCACCACCCTGACACATGAATCCGGGGATTATGCGGTGGAATGTGGAGTTCTTATAACCGAATCCTTTCTCGCCGGTGCAGAGAGCGCGGAAGTTCTCAGATGTCTTTGGCACATCGTTTGCGAAGAGCTATACGACTGTCAGAAAACAGAACTCGTACCTCAAATACTACACGGCCAGCGGGCGAACCGCCAATGCTGATGTCGAAAAAACACCTGGTAGCCATTTAATTCAAATGGACTGGTCCCGGACATCTGCATGCCCAGCTCAAATAAACAACACACGCCATAACAGGGTCCCGATTGTTGGTGGCTAAATATGTTAAGATTTCTGATCCCTGTATACCGATTATCTAAAGCAATAACAAAGGTCTGCATTTTGATGATATACCTTTAAGAAAATTCGTTAAATATTTGCTTACTCCAGTTGCTCGCGTAGAAAATAAATGCGGTTTTAGTTGATTTCAGGAACACTTTTAAGTGTTTTAAATAAATCCTGCAGCGTTAGTACCCAAACCCAACTAGCGGACTGTGACTTAAATAGGCATGTGCGAAAGGCTTCCCCAACACTGACGAAGTGTATTCCAGTGCTCCTTTTGGTAGGATTGTCCATACAACGCTACTGTGGGACTACTCGCTCTACTCTCAACGCCAGAAGAAAACTGAACGCCGGGGAACTATATGGAAGGCAGGTTTTTACATAAAGAACGAACTTATGTCCGCGAACTGGGACTGTCTGCTCAAGAGGAATCCAGAGGACGACTGGCAATCGTTTAAGACGATCTCACTATATCTGATTCGATGCTGATGACCAGAGAAAGTAAAAAAAACTACTTATCGCTCCACCTGGACGACTAGAGGCATTCACAGGCAGTTAAGAAATGAAAGTGAAACTTAAAGATAGTCAGGAAAACTGCATCACTAGAACAAATCGAAGAATTTCGTCGCCAGCGTCATGCGGTCAAAAAATGCCTCTATCAGGCAAGGAAGGACAGTGAATCAATAATTATCTGGCAGGCTGAATAAAATGTTGCAATTTTATCCAACTATATTAACAGCCAAATGAAAAACAAGGACCCAGTTGCAGCATTTTATGACATTAATGGTGTAGAAGTTGTTGAATACGGCGAGAAAACCTAACACTTGGAACGCCTCATTTCCTAGGCATGCACTAAAAAATTCAGTTCCAGATTCACAATGTGAACTATGCTATTGTAGCTGCGATATGGTGCTTAAATGCATACTCTTCTCCGCGACTCTCTTGGGGAGTGAGATGCAGGATGTAAATGAAGCAAAGTCATCGTATCTCGACAATATAGTCGCCAAATTCTTGAAAGAATTGGCGAACCAACTCTCCAAACCTCTAGCGCATATCAGCCATTCGTCAGTTGAACTAGGGAAGCTCCACTTCTATCGCAGTTAGCCAGTATCTACCCGGCATGCATGGGTGGGGTCCGAACTAACACTAACACTTATCGACCCGCTAACCTTACAAAAATTTTCCATAAATTAAAGGAAAAAGTATGTACGTAGGTGGCAATAAAGTTCCTGAAGGAAAATTACTTATCCATGGGGCTCCAGCGCAGCTGCAGCAGAGCCACTTTTGTTATTGCTCTCGACTGAGCAGTGAACTCGAGAACTGGACGACGATGCCAGGGGTGACGTCATCTATACAAATCTCAAGAGGGCGTTCGACAGCGTCCCAAACGATAACGAAACAGTGTGCATTGAGTCAACTCCTACTACCCGATCTAATTGGTGTCACAAATGACTCAGCCTTAGGGCTATTTCTCATCCGAATCC